CAAAGAAAATATTTGAGTAAGATTTATTTGATAAACTAAAGCAATGTAAACCGGCTTGAGGTAGAACTGTGAATATTTAATACACTCTAATATTGGTAAACAAAATATTTTTGCCATAGCCTAATTTTGTCAAACAATAATTTCTGCTAAAAGTAGAGGAAGTAGTGAAGCTTGTGTGATGCGGGCAACAGATTTTCTTACTTTTACTTAGTGATCTTTTATCTCTCATTCATCCCTTTCTGACACCAGGATATGAACCCGTAATCTTACATTCGAAATTGAATAGCTGTAACTTCGTTAATAGTTGTCCGAAATGAACGATTTTTGAATGATTCTGTAGAGAATTTCATTACCTTAAAAAAAAAACAGGCGGTTTTAGCTCATGGGCTATGGACAGACAGACAGATCAATAGTTAAATTTTTTTTTTTTTTGGACTCAGGGGACTCTGAAACGTATAGATCCGTCGAAAACTGTATATCGAAAATTTGACAAGATCGCAATACTTTCCTTAACTAGTATATTATGGGTAAGGTAATAAATTTAAAAATGTGTAGAAAATGGAATAAGCTGTATCATCGCTAATACTGGTTCCATTACCATGATTTTTTTTTTGTAATTTAATTCCCTTAAAAAATTGTTATTATAAATTTTACCATATTATATACATTTAGCGAGTTAGGCCCCAAAACCTTTTTTCCTTAATTTTCTCGGGAATTTAGTCCATGTACAAAAATTGAAAAAACAATTATTAGAACATTATAGGAAAATTTCATCAAAATCGTTAGAGCCGTTTTCGCGCTACAGTCTATAGAAAAACGTGTTTTTCATTTATTGCGCGGCAGCTATTGCGCATGGAGCACAGAATTTCTGCCACAGGCATCAATAGTCAAAACTCTACAAACTAGAAGAAAAAAAAACTAAATCGGTTCACTAGTTCCTGAGAAAATCTTGGTACAGATAGACAGACAGACCAATGGCTACAAATGTGTTTTTCGGACTCAGATGGGTCTGAAACGTATAGATCCGTCAAAAACTGCATATCGGAAATTTGACCCGATCCCAATACTTTCCTTATCTAGTATAGATAGGAAAGTGAAAAGATACTCGATTTACGTTCATAACAATGAGGTGAAAAATTACACACGTGCAATACAATAATTTATTTCATAATAATTTTTTTTCGAAACAAACAAAGAATTAAATAATTGTTTTTTACTTTGCCTAAAAACAAAATCTTCTTGAAATTCTGTCGCCCGAGTAGTATTCTCTCAACATTTATATGAAACACACAATGCCGTACAGTGCAGATGAATTCTCGAAGCACGCAATCTAAAGTCGAATTTCTATATTCCTAAAAATATTATACATTACTTTATTTTCTAACCACTTTGAATGCTGCAATCTTCTCTTTACGTTAGCGTCCATGTTTTGTAAATTTTTACATATAGATTTCTAGCCATTAGGATCCTTCGGAGAAAAATCAATTTTCGTATCTCAGCGCAATCTTTTGGCTCATCAGGTTACTAAAATTGCCCCTCTGGTATGACAATATTATTCAAGTGTTCAATTTTCCTGTGCTAAGATAGTTCTAATTTTCAACTCGCACCATAAATACCGAGATTTTTTAGGGATTGTTAAAAAGTGTTTTATCACACCTATTTTGTTGATCAACGTCTCCGATTGGACCTAGTCTGAAGGAATAATGACAGTTAGAGACCGGATTTCCATGTTATTGCACATTTTATTCGATTGCGTGTAAAAAATCCGGACCCGAAAATCTATCCGTTTCAGAACCTTTAAAATAAGATATTTAAATTTTATATTGCACAAGATTGAACGTTTTGCCGTTTTTGGCTTAAATTGCACGATTTTGATTTTTGTTGCATTAATTGCACATTTTAGCACTTGTATGCTAAATTAGACAATTTATAAATCCAAATGTATAAGTGATAATACAACAATTATCACAAAACATCAAGATCCTACACAGGCTTCACTAACTCTACAACATCACTTACTTAAATTACAAGATTGGTTCACACTATGGAAAATTCGACTTAATCATGACAAATCCAAACATATAACATTTACTCTTCGAAAAAAACACCTGTCCTCCAGTTTATGTTGACAACAATCAAATTCCTCAAACGGACACGGTACTTTACCTTGGACTCACCTTCGACAGAAGGATGACATGGGGTCCGCATGTTAAAATGAAATGTAAGACACTTGAAACAAACGACTCAAACTACTTTACTCTCTTTTTTCTAAATCTTCAAAACTAAAACTAAAGCAGAAACTGAATATATATACATACTTACTTAAACCCATATTAACGTATTCATCACAAATATACGGTATCGCAAAAAAGACACACCTACAAAAACTTCAAACGTTCCAATCAAAATTATTGTGACTCATAACAAAAGCACCATGGTACGTGTCTAACAAAACTCAACAAACTGACCTCCACTTTCCAACAGTTGACCAACATATAACGTCCCTTTATGATTTTACACAAATTTAAATGGACATAATAACAGACTTATAAGAGACATGGCCACAGCTGACATACCTCAGAACATGAGCAGGAGACCAAAAAGGCTTTGGATGAGAGAACTCCTTCCTTAGACAACCTAAGTAATTGGAACAAGTTAGGGAAGAGGTACTGCTGAGTACTTTCCTTCTCCATGCCTGTCATGTCATTTATCATGTATCGCCATCACATTTGCTGATTTTCAACAATAAGTTGACAGGCGAAAATATATTTTTTGATAGACAAAAAAAAAAAAAGTGAGTGTGTTAGTATTTATTTTACTATATTGTTCAAATTAAATTCATCATTCAAAATAGAAAAATATGAGGAAGACAAGTAGTTCTGTGTTAAGCAAAAATCGTATTCATTACAAAGGGAAGAAGTTAAAACAAGTGAGATCTATTCTTGGAATAGAACTTGCCTAAAGTATTGGATAATAAAAAGTTGCTTTCCTAAAATTAGCTGCTTAGTTACTAAGGCATTTATAGTTATTGTTTAGGCTTGAATCCTCACTTACCGTTCAACCCTTTAGTATCAATATCTGACTTTGAATTTAATTGTAGAAATTTCATTATTATAAAAAAAAAATTATATTGCTGAAAGTAAAATTTAGTCCCCCGTCAAAAATTAAAATCTGCATATTAAAATATCCCGATTCGAAATGTGAGGACAAAGAATTTGATGAGAAAGTTATGAATCAATCAGAAGGAAAATTCTTACTCATTGAGGAAAAGTAAGAAAAACATATTCCTATCAAAAAATTTAATGTATTTTTAAAAAGAACGTAATCCCCAAAAATGTTTTTTTTAGTGGTATAGAAAAACAGCTTCAACAATAATTTTTGAACACTTAAAAATCTCAAACATTACATACTGTTTCAATAATTTTTTCAAAATTCTTTAAATTTTAACAAAAATATTTGGGAATATATAATATTGGAAAATTCAACTACAAAAAATTAAATTTTCATTATTATTTTTAATAAAAGTTATACATCTGAACTTCGTCTGGCCTATGTAATATATACATAGGAAATTGCCTTCGTTTATTCTTTCAAACCTTCAATACTCTACATTATTTGGTAATAATCGTTATTATAATCTGGAATTTCATTTTCAATGTTTCATTTCATTTTTTTTTTTTTTTTTTGTTTATTATTTTCAATAACCAACCATTGTGATCGACCAAAAAATTCAAAAACTTAACCCTCTATCAAAATTTGAGGTTTCACGTTTCAGGACGCGCAGAATTCGAAAAACGAATAAAAATTTTTTTGTCCGTCCGCCGTCCGCGCATTTCCTCCGAAACTACTGGACCGATTTTTTTCAAATTTTGATATAAAATCAGAGGTCACCCGAGGATGATCCTCCTTCATCGACATTACTCTCCGTCTTTAACGTTCAAAATGGCGGGCGAAAAACCTGCGTTGCTATAGACTGTAGCTCCTAAACGAATGTACCGATTTCAATGAAACTTCGCTAAAGTCATTTTCTCGACGCCCTTTAAATTTATCTATATAACATACTTCAACGAAGTTAAGTTACGAGGGATGGTAAAATTAAATTCCGAATAACTCGAAAAGTTTTTACTTTTTGTTGATATTGTATAATTTTTTTAAAAGTTTACGAAATTTCCTAAAAAAAAAAAAATCGTTAAAATCGGACAATTAGGAGCAAAGATATGGTCTCCGGTTTTTTTTTAATATGTTCTACTCCAAATGTTATATCCTTGGTTTGGTTTTTAAATTTTGAATGTGTTATTGAAGTAATGCGATTTTTTTTTTTAGCATATTACTAATGATTAAAGTATAATTGTTTGGAAATAATAAACCGTTGTGTAATAATTTGCAGCGTTTTTTCTTATCTCTCGGTTAGCTCAAGATCTGATGAGATTTCGATGTATTAATGTTATAAACAAAACAATATTGATGATTTTACACGTTTTATGTGTTGATTACATAATTTTACGTATTTTGGATTTATACTGTACGATTTTGCACATTTTGAGATTTTTACTGCACGAAAATCCGGTCTCTAATGATAGTACACCACTCGCTTCCCGAAAAAGGTAATAGATTCCGTTAGAGCACAGGTGGATCTACGGGGAGAGGAAGGACTTTCGGGCAGAAGCCACCTCCCAAAATGGAAAAATGTAACCATGTATATTATGGTAAAAAATATTTAAAAAATTAATTAATTACATTTAATAGGACTTCAAGAATCACTTAAATACCATTTCATATAAGTAGTTAGTATCTTTCTTTTTTTCCAAAGTAATTATCGTTATATATATATAAAAAAAAAAAGCTTCCGGGCCCCCCTCCAAAATTAAATGCTGGATCCGCTAGTGCGTTAGAGTACTGTTAACATTGCTCATGAACATGCTCTTTCCTCTGCTGTTAAATCCATTCCTCCATTTCCTAGGAAGACATTTATTGAAACATACACAGACAGCGGTACTCACCGGGTAGGACATGGAGGTGGGCCCTTGGAGTATCTCCTCGAGGGACTCGATGTACTCGATGGCGTTCCTCAGGATCTCCACCTTGGGCAGTCGTTGTCCCGGGTTGGGGCTCGCTCGTCTCTTCAGTGCCTCGAATGCTTCGTTCACCTGAGGACACAATCATCTATTATCGTTTTTAAAATTCTTATCTCATAACACAAAATTATTTATTTATTATCCATATTAAAATTATCCATAATAAAATATTATCCATGATAAAAAAAAATATGGTGCGGTTCGCGCATCACGCAACTTTTACTTACCACCCTCTTCTTAGCTGAAATAAGTATTTTCAGACAAAGTGAAAGTAAAAATTATAAACACTACATTGATTTATATTTCATTTTGGGTATTTTTATTTGTATAAGTACCCTTATATATACAAATTTTAATATTTATATTGCTGTAATCTATACGATTAAATCTATATAAATAAAATAAAGATTTTGTCTGTACATTGAATTGAATCAACCCTTTTCATGATATCTTTCCGTTTCATTCATTACAGACACCAAATCCACTTTTAAAACATTTTTTTCTCTGTCTGTATGTCCGCATTACAACGAAATTTTGTCAGAGGTAAGCTCAGCAATGGCTTATTGTAGACTTTTGAAATTTTGACATTATATTAAGGTTTACTTGACTTAAAACATAGGCTTTAAATGAAAATAAAAACAATTCAGTATAACCAAAGTTATGAATTCTTGAGTAATTTGTCTAGAGATCACAGTTAATGTTGATAATAAATGTTAATAATAAACATATGTTTATAGGTTAAAGAACATCTAAAATAAAATAAAGGTTTTGTCTGTACATTGAATTTAATCAACCCTTTTCATGATATCTTTCCGTTTCATTCATTACAGACACCAAATCCACTTTTAAAACATTTTTTTTCTCTGTCTGTATGTCCGCAATGCAACGAAATTTTGTCAGAGGTAAGCTCAGCAATGGTTTATTGTAGATTTTTGGAATTTTGACATTATATTAAGGTTTACTTGACTTAAAATATAGGCTTTAAATGAACACAAAATATTGAGTAGAACCAGAGTTTTCAATTCTTGAGTAATTTGTCTAGTGACCTCGGTTAGGCAGTCCTCCGGTTAGGCAGTAGTCCGGTTAGGCACTTCGATCCTCATCCCCACCTACTCTACAGCGAGCCATATTTAACAGTTGTACTATTCAAATAAAAATTATCACAACTCAATGGGAAAAATCCGAAATGCCAAACATCTGTAACACGTTGCCGCTTAAAACACACTCATTTTTCAACTTTGTCCGATCTTCCCTTTCAAGGTGTCATTCGATTCAACTTCTCGAGCCTAATAAATGTTGTCGTATACATTTTTACGATTAACCAAATGGATTAGCCGGAATTCGGAAGAAAAACTTCTAAAAATTAAAATTACCTTTCCCCCCTCACCTAATGTTATGAAATTAACCTCCTTCTCCCACCATAATACAATATCCATCTCAAAAAAAGATTCTCAAATTTTAACTATACACCCGTCAACGATGGGTACATCAGCTAGTATTAAATAATACCAACAATAGCATTTATGGAAACCACATATGTATATTTACATAATATTATTGGAGTCCTTATTATATTAAGCTCATGTTACGTATGGAAGCGTGTTCTAATCTTTCAGGCGTGCTCAGGTGCGTTCGTATTCCTTTGGTTTCTCAACTATGCTACGTTACGATATTTTATTCTTCATTTAGTTAATTATAAAATTCTTCCATATTTTATTATTAACTATCCATCTATTCATTTATATTATAAATGAATGTGAAATGGTGACTGGTTCCAAATAAAAAAATTAAAAGTACTTTACGGGAAGCTAATATTGAAAAATAGCCATTTAAGCTCTGTTAGAGAACATTAATCAAAATAAAAACTAATTTTTTTAAAAAAACTGCTTAATTTTACACTCATATAATGAATTTAATCAAAATCGTTAAAGCCGTTTATGACAAAATCGTAAAAATCTGTTCAGTCCATGTGTTGGATGAGAGCCGAAAAGCAATACTGATTTTTTTTTTTTTTTTGACATTTAAGCCTAGTAAGCAGATTTAGAAGGCATAGGGCTACAGTATACCTGAAACGTGCTGTTTATTAAATTATTCAATTTATAGTCTATCATTCATTTCAAAAAAACTTTATAAAATATAATTTAAATTAAAAGTTGAAATAAATTGAATTTAGAAAATTGACATCTCTTTCGTTTTAAAATGGGTTAACCTTTTTCACTTTTTTCTGATAAATCATAAGTTTCCAACTAGGTGGTTATAACTGATTATACAATCTAAAATATGAAGCAGTTACAACAGAATTTAGGTAATTATCTTAATTATTGACGTTTATCGGGAGTTTTAGGCCAACATTCTGTAGTATAATACATAATAATAATAATAATAATAACGATAATATAGGGTTGAATAAGAGCCAAAAAACAATACTCAACACGGACAATATCGTCAGAAACTTATTGATTGTTTTTTTTTTTTTTTACATTTAAGCCTAACTATTGAATATTTCTACCAAAACCCAAAGAAGTGCGGAAATCTTAATTAACAACCTTATAATAATATTGGATTGGCAAATAAGTCATTCGGTTTTTCTGTTTATTTTTATGTCACTACGATATACTTCTTATCTGATCAATTAATTCCTAAGGTGGATTGTTCATCCTGTTTGTAATATGTCAACAATATAACTCTTGTTGAAACTAGCTTAGTATTGTGTTTGCTATTTTTGTTGTATTATTCTAAAAAAGGTAAGCGTGCTGCAGAAGCTCATAGAAAAATTTACAGTGTTTGTGGGGACGATGCCTTAACTGAACGTACCTGTCAAAATTAGTTTGTCAAATTTCATTCAGGAAATTTTGACATCAATGATGCTCAACAGTCTGGTCACCCACATGAAATTGAAACGAGCAATTTTAAGGCCATTGTTGATCGAAATCCCACCCAATCACTGCGAGAGATAGCTATGGTCCTGAATGTGTCGCACACAAGCGTAGAAAACCATTTGCACAAGCTCGGCTATGTGATTCATATTTGGGATCTCACATGATTTTTTTTTTCTTTTCTTTCAATTTATCAGGAATTTAGAGCCACAACTACACAAACTTCGTAAACAAACTACAAATAGAGATACAAAATAAAAACCAATAAGGAGTTTTTGTTTATTTATTTCTTATATATGCGTTAAATCATTCATACGGCTTTGTAGAGCAATAATTCAGCTTTTCAACGGATATGATAATCGAATTTGGAGAACATCCTGAAGAGTTATGAATGATCGGAAGGGTATCGTGTTCCAACAAGCAGCGCTATGCCCCACTCCTCATTGGTCACTCGCAATAAATTATTGAGCCTTGGATACGACATTTTCCCCACCCACCCTATCCACCAACCTTTGCTCCAAGTGACTACCACTCTAGTGACGTCTCTACTAAACTCTAAGAATCGAAAAAAATTCCTAAAGGAAGAGGACATAAAAAACCACTTGGATCAGTTTTTTAATATAAAACTCCAGACATTGTATGAACATGAAATTGTGCAGTTAGTAGAAAGATGAGAAAAATTCATATTAAATAATAGCCAATATATTGTAGATTAAAATGAATTTTATCTCTATGATACATTGAGTTTTGTTTCACCATAAAAACTGAAAGGACTTATTTACCAACCCAATAATTTAAAAAATACCACTACGAACTATTGACGACCTTGGAATTAAATCATCTAGGGAATTCCTTATATTATTGGTATAGAATATCTGATTATTATTTTTAAATATATTTATTTATTGATTAATAGTAGAGGAGTCTGGGCAAGATAATTACCTAAATTCTGTTGTAACTGCTTCATATTTTAGATTGTATAATCAGTTATAACCACCTAGTTGGAAACCTATGATTTGTCAGAAAAAAGTGAAAAAGGTTAATCCAGTTTAAAACGAAAGAGATGTCAATTTTCTAAATTCAATTTATTTCAACTTTTAATTTAAATTATATTTTATAAAGTTTTTTTGAAATGAATGATAGACTATAAATTGAATAATTTAACAAACAGCACGTTTCAGGTATACTGTAGCCCAATGCCTTCTAAATCTGCTTACTATTGAGAAAAAAAAATGGATGCGAGACAGATAAGAAGGCGTCGAAAAGGAAAGCGTGCACGTGTTTACCGGAGAGGATATCCATCAAAAACCAAACTGCTTTGGGACCCGCCGCAGCACAGCAGATGGCGGTGGCAGAGGAAACTGTACATAATGTAAGGGGAGGATGTGGGGCTTTATGGGGCCAGCCGATTAGCTCAGGGTCAACAAAAACATTCACAAAAACCCTCTTAGCTTACTAAACATAGCTATCTACTTCATGTAGTCGGAAATAGCACAACCGTTATTACATAATATGGCGGAAAGCACGAGGGGTTGAAGGAGTTTTGGAACCTTATCACGTAATGACCAGAGTACATAGTGAAAAATATGTTAGATTTTGGATTTATAGATGAAGAGGTGCAGTAGTCGATAATTGTATAAGCGTATCCTCATAAGCCTATGACATACTCGTAAATAGACAATGGGACATAGAACATCGGAAAAATAAAAATAATCTTTATTGACATCACAGGTGGGTCTACTGAAGCCTCCCAAAATGGCAAAATATAACCATGTTTTATAAAAAAAAAAACACATTGAAAAATAATCTCTTAGAGTATTCTTCTTCGTGTAATTACATTCAATAGGACTTCAAGAATCACTTAAACACCACTTCATATAGGTAGTTAGTTTTTTCTTTTTTTTTATTCCAAATTAATTATTTATATATATATATATATATATATATAACGCTTTCCGGCTGAAGTTCCTTCCAAAAAAAAAAAATCCTCTTCTATTCCTGATAACTCTTCGAGGCATTTGAAAAGAAAAAGTCTCGGGACCTTCTAATATAGAAATATAATTGGAGTACTACCAATGGGTAGTTTCTCTTCATGTTGTACATGTCATGTTACTTATTTCGTATTTACTTGTTGTCTTTATCAATTAAATGAAGTTGTAAATTTCAACAATGAAAAAAAAAAGTTACTATACGTAAAGAATTGGTATAAACAAAATACTTTTGCGTTTAACTCTCAAAATTTATCATTTGGACTTACACAATTACAGTAATATCTACACAATACAGTAATAAGTTGAAAGATAACTTCAAGACTGTTGCGAGACTCTTGCGCAAGACCATGACCTAGCATTTGGGCAACATTAACCAAAATACATCTCCTAGAATGAGGTTACGATATCAAAGAGACAACCTTATCCTAATAAATTCTAGACATTATAAAATAAATAAATTGACATAATTAATATTGGAAAATAAAAGCATGACCTCATACCAGACTGAAACGACAAGAAACCGCTCGACGTTTCCGATAACTTCAGCACTTAGTAGACAAACGCTCTAAACTTCCAATTAATTACAAAAGACCCATGACTATAATAAAGCCTATTTGGACTTACTGTTGAGCTATGGGGCTCCACTAAACAATCGAATTCCTCTCATATCCAATCCTTACAATCCAAAATCCTTCGTAAAATCCTCAATGCTCCCTACTTTGTTACAAATAAAACCATCCATAATAACCTTAATGTTTCTTATGTTTCAGATCTGATCCAATCCAGATACTTATCCTTCCATAATAAACTTCAGAACCATCCGAACCCTTTTGTGTCTAACCTTGCTTCCTCTTCGATTCCTGATAACCCTCCGATTCCTCTGAAAATAAGATGGCCCCGTGATCTCCTAATGTAGACATATTATTAGAGTGCTACCATTGGGTAGTTTCTCAACAAGTGTTTTCACGTCATTATATCCATATGTTCAAATTTACTAAATATATTTTTACTTTCCTACCTATACTAGATAAGGAAAGTATTGCAATCGGGTCAAATTTCCGACATGCGGTTTTCGACGGATCTATACGTTTCAGAGCCCCCTGAGTCCGAAGAGCACATTTTTAGCCATTGGTCTGTCTGTCTGTCTGTGCTGAGATTTTCTCGGGAACTACAGAACCGATTTTCTTGCATCTTTTTTATTTTTTTAGGGTTTTGACTACAGATGCCTGTGGCAGAAATTCGGTGCTCCATGCGCAATAAATGAAAAACATGTTTTTCTATAGACTGTAGCGCAAAAACGGCTCTAACGATTTTAATGAAACTTTCCTATAATGTTCTATTCATTGTCCTTTCAATTTTGGAATATAGACTAAATTCCCGAAAAAATTCAGGAAAAAAAGTTATTAAGAAAAGAAAAATGTTATGGAACCTAACTCTCTAAGTATATATTATGCGGTAGAATTTATAATAAAACTTTTAAAAGGTAATTAAATTACTAAAAAAAAAATCATCTTAATCGAACCAGTATTAGCGATGATACAGCTTATTCTATTTTTTAGGCATTTTTTTTAACTTATTTTATTACATTCCTACCTATACTAGGTAAGGAAAGTATTGCAATCGGGTCAAATTTCCGATATGTAGTTTTTGACGGATCTATACGTTTCAGACCCCCCTGAGTCCGAAAAACACATTTTTTTAAATACAGTTGTAAATATCATTAAGAAATAAAAAAAATAAATAAAAGACATGTAAATAACTAAAGGAGATGAACTGACTTTGCGCAGCCTCCGTCGCTCCCTGAGGGTGGCTGCCCTCCTCCTGTCGACGCTGGCCGATCTCCTCTTGCAGGTCTTGCAGGCCCAGGCCAGGCACCCCCCCTGCAAGCAGAAGATAAGTCATTACAGATCTCTGATCTTCAACATCTGAAGAAACTTAGAGGTATATGAACTGAACCAGAGAGTTATCGTATAAGAAGAGGTTCATTAAATTTGAAAAAATATAAATAAATCACGAAAAAAAAGTATTATGGGTAATACTTAAGGTGAATTCAACGATATAAAAATTAAAATATTTTCGAATTCACCTCTCTGTGGCTCCTGGGCGCTAACACGTGCTCTTCAGAACTGTCTTCTTCCTCCCTGTAAAATAATAATAAATGAATAACATGTAGAATAATTTTATAATGATTATATAATGTATCATAAATATATATATATATATATATATATATATATATATATATTACAAAATTATTTTTTTCATCGATACTTGGAGTATCGCTCGATAAGAAGGTAGGGAAAAAAATGAAAAATTATGAGTTACGCCATATAGAAACTTTTTTGTTTTTATAGAAATATAGAAAATATAGAAAAGTTTTTGTGCCAATGATAGCTGTTTCATTTTTCCAGCTCTGAAGAGGATCCCATTCTATGTACAAGAAAAGAAGGGATCGAAAAAAAATTATTGAATATTTAATAGTTCACCGTTGCATTATAAAGGAAGGAGATGGTCCGGGGCGGCGGTAGGCTAAATAGTGGCAAAACTATTTTATTAAAAGCCAACCTTTCGACCCGACTTTGCAGGTCTTCTTCAGGGTTAGAATGAACAAGATACAAAAAGATAGAGAATTGTGGAAGTTACATAATATTAAGACAAAAAAATATAAACAATGTGAATAAGCTTATTGAAATTATAAACAGTAAGTAAATTAAAATATAAACAGAGTTAGCTAAATAACAAGATAATAAACTGAAGTAAATATTACTGGTCTATTACCTTGTTTCTTGTAACTCGTTTCTTTTTACTGTTTTGGTTATTAGTATGTGATTATATAAAGTATTGATATAAGACATGAGCACTTTTCAGGCTAGAAAATATCAAAACGGGAATGATATTTTCAAAAAAGCAAAAAGCTATTCAAAATTAATTAAAAATCTGTCGCATCTGGAACCACAAAGGATATTTCTTTTAAAATGCAGAAAATAAAATTGGTTTCCAACACACATTCTGGATAGCACAAAGAATATTTATCATATTATTCCACAGTTCATAAAACAGTTGGAAATATTATATTCAGAACACAAAGTTCTATTTTGAATTTGGAAACAAAAGACATTTGTTCAGTTCTAACATATATTAAGTATAAAATATAGAACATTCTTGTGGAACTTGCCGATAGAATTGATCGAGATGTGTTGCATTATAAATTGATTTATGACCAGAAGAAGCTCTATAAAAGACAACGTAATGTACATAAAGTTAAAATAATAAAAACATTTGCTAAAATAAATAAAAGAACCACAGCTGATCCACTGCCCGAGGTGCAAACCACTGGGTTCCTAAACCTCACTGATAAATCTGTACCAAAAACCATAATAAATATTTTAGCTTTAGGACCTAAATTTAACTACGATGCTAGCAATAACATGTCGTAGCTAGAATACCGCATCTTGTATCTGAAGTGGAATATATGATTCAGAATGTAGAAAAAGAAGAATATAAGCTAAATGTACTTAACTAAATGTAAATAACCGAGTGAATATCAGACATAAGAAAAAGCCGATTGATAGGAAAATAGAAGCAGCAAAAATATTGTAGTGAGCAACCCGGACGTATTAGTGACATCGGCGTATAAAGGAGGCATTACTGTTGCAAATACATAAAAGGGATTATGAAGAAAGAATAAATGGAATGGTAAATGTTACAAGAAAATTTCAGATCCCACCCAAAATCTCATAAAGCCAATTCTTTACATATATCAACTAAAATTGTCAAGTATTAGTAACTATTTTACCTTAATTTGTATTAAAAAAATCGATTATTTTTTTTTAACCAGTCTTGGTCTCGGTCTTGCAACAGTAAAGTGGCCTTGGTCCGCCGATTTTGTGCAACACTGTTGCTTACTCCTCATGATACACCTATATTCTTTTTGTAGTCTCCGGCACTAGCGGATCCAGGATTTAATTGGGGGGGGAGGGTTAAGCCCGAAAGCTTTTTTTTCTCATAAAAATGACGATAATTACTTTGGAAAAACAGAAAGAAACTAACTAACTATATGAAATGGTGTTTAAGTGATTCCTTAAGTCCTTTTAAATGTAATTACATAAACAATAATACTACAAGAGATAATTTTTTAATATATTTTTCCATAAAACATGGTTATATTTTACCATTTTGGGGTGGGAGGGGGCTTCAACCCGAAAGCCTCCCCGTAGATCCGTCCTTGGTCTCCGGGTCGCCTTAAGCATTTCAGTTGAAAAAAGTATTGGTAAATTTAGAGGTCATCAGCATATACTTATATGTAACAAGAGTTCCCATCCCCCTTAAGCCGATGGCGAATTTAAAAATTTGTTGATGATATAGAATTATACTTTTTTTTTTTGCATACTCACTATTTCGCGATACAGGTGGGGGGAGGTTGTTCTAAAAAAAAAAAAACCTGTACCACTACAACCCATGAAGGGTCTGGGGTTCAGTACTATTTAGGGAAAGTACTGTTGTGCAAGGAGGTGATTTGACCGAGATCACGCTCAACCGCCAGGTTTTCCCCCTTAATTAATTATTTAATTAAGGGTATCCACTTTTATAGACGCTGGATGTGCCCCAGGAGGGACTTCCAACCCAGGGTCGCCCCACGGCCAATGAAACAGATAAATAAATTTTCTGCCATGAGCCGGGGTTCGAACCTGGGATCTTTGCATTGGAAGCTCAGTGCCCTACCACTGAGCTACCCCACTCCCCAGGGAGAACCAATCCTCAAGATAAAAGAAGGTACATGTACAAGATACATTCCATGTGTTAGCCAAAAAGTAAGTTTCTTCTCGTACAGGCCGGATTCGCATCGGTGTCAGCAATGCTTCAATACTTTCGGCCATCACGACCTATACAATTACACTTGCTATAGTCGGTTCTGTTTCTCCCTTGTTTTCTGGATTAAAAATTGTTCCAAATTGGAACTGTATGCTCCCTTAAAAACTCCAAACCTCGTAAAAATGAGCTTCTCAAAAAATTAGCAGCTTGCGGCATACAACTACCCTCTGGGAATTCCTGATAAGAAGAGTTGTGATTGGTGAATAAAATCAAGAATAAAAAAAACAATAGTTTGATATAATCATCCTAAAGGAGGAGATTGGTCCTCATATTCTCGATCACAAATAAATTGCAAATTAGGTTCGGAAAATCAAATATTGAGATTGAAATATAGATGAAGAGTTCTACCATTTTCATGGAGATCATTATGAGAGGCGATATAAATAGCCGTGAGAAGACGTTATGAAAGAATCCCTAAAGGATATGAGAAGGGCCGGAGACAGACAGCTCTATAAATAGGAAGAGAAAAAGTGAACGAGATAATTAGTGCGTATTGGGTGAGAGAGATGTCGCTGTTTGGCATGCTCTTTGGCAGGTCGCTCTTCAACGGTGCATTCTCCTCTCCTCGCTGGACCCTCCATTCATCATCTTCCTCAGGACTCCCGCCAGTTCCTTTATTCTCTCCATGTGTCATCCCGGGATGAAAGGATGCTGAGTAATGCCATCCCGGCCACTTTGAGCTGTGTATATTAGTTAGCCTGTCTTCTCCGCTCCTCGGGCCGATTTCACGCTATCCCCTAAAGTATTCCTGGTACACAGTTCACCATTACTTCCTTGTTCAACGCAGATTGGATTTTAAACAACGCGAGCTTAACCTGCAAGTCGTGACGAATGAATGAGTGCTACTTGTGACTACGATATACTTATTTCCTATTACTATAGAATAGGACTCATTAAAAAAAAAAATGTGGTGTGTCCACTCACAAGACTTTTCTACCTATTACAGAAATTTTTTTATAACTTTACATATGTCTATAAAAAAACAAGAAAAATTGAATTATATTTATTATCCTGAAAATTGATCAAAGAAAAGATTTGAATACGATTTATTTGATAAACTAAAGTAATGTAAACCGGCTTAAGGTAGATCAGTGTAAAAATTTCAATACCATCTAATATTGTTGATCAAAAACTTTTTGCTATAGCCTATATTGTCAATAAATAATTGTTGTTAATATTAGCGGAAATAGTGAAGATTGTGTGATGCGGGCAACAGATTTTCTTACTTTCACTTAGTCATATTTTTTCTCTCATTCGCTCCTTTCTGACACCAGGATATGTACCTGAAGTGTAATATAATTATCACCTATACGTTTTATTGAATTTTTTTATTTCCTTCTTATCTCATCTTTTTGGTTATGGGGTGTTTTTCCTGGGCCAAAGGATAGGGCTGGGTATTAATATTAAAATAAAATGACCATGGCACCGGAACTCGATTTAGTAATCTTCAGGTTATCAGATTGCCAGGCAACGAGTGTGTTGCAAATGTGTTATCTCGCTCGGCTACCCCACCCAATTATTTTAAGTAAAATGATAATAATAATAATAATAATAAGGCTTAGCGAACCCGAAGGTTCGATGCCGATACCACCAGTCGATGTCCTTATTCTTCCATCTACCGGACTCCGTCTAAACCCAACCCCGCCAAATCAGCCTTGACGCAATCTAACCACCTTCGCTTTGGTCTACCCCTCGGACGCTCGCCAGTCGGTACAGTGCAGATTAATTTTTGGGAATTAATAATAAGCTTTCGTTACTAAGCCCAGTGATTTTACATGCCCATTTTATTCGCCTCAACTTAATCACCTAAATTATATTAACCGGATACAGTTCACGCAATTCATCGTTGAGTAACCGCCTGAATTCTCCGATCTTTTTCGGTCCGAATATTCTGGGCAATACTTTATTTTCAAACACTTTAAGAGGTTGCTAAGTGGCCACCTTTCGCAACCATAAAGAACCTTAAGTAGGATAATGGTTTTGTAAATTATAATTTTTAAGTTTCAGGACAGAAGGCGAGACCTAAGTAATTTTAACAAAGAAAAATAACAAGCATGGTTGGGGTTATCAGTCAGAAATAAAAAGGTAAAATAACTAATAATATGTATTTTAACATTTTCCGACGTTTCTACCAGAAGTTCAGGCCTTTATGAGGGCTGCTCCCAAAAGTCTACTGGACAGTGCACTGCAATCCAACAATCTTTTGGGAGCAGCCCTGATAAAGGCCTGAACTTCAGGTCGAAACGTCGGCAAATGTTAAAATAAATATTAGTATTTATTTTGCCTTTTTATTTCTGACTGATCACTCCAACCATCCTTCTCTTCATTATTTACGACAGTCACCCATCAACCCACTATTAAAAATAACAAGCAATTCTCGCCTTCAGCCTGACCTTAACATCATCTTCAATTTCGTTTTTTCTAGTTATCCTAGACCCTAGATAATGGTTTAGATAGATAATAGTTTTGTAAATTATAATTTTTAAGTTTCTAGACAAGAGGCGAGAACTAAATAATTTTGACAAAGAAAAATATTAAGCATTTCCCACCTTCAGCCTAACCTTAATACCCTCTTCAATTTCGTTTTTTCTACTTATCGTAGACCCTAGATACCTAAAATTTTAAGTAAAATACTGTGAAATATTGAAGGGGTTGCCCCCCATCATAAAATATTAGGGAGAAAGAAAAAGTACCTTGCCCCACCCCCTCAGTGAAAACGACTTTTGGGAGCCTTCAAATATAGGTGCCTCGGACATCCAAAATGATACATATGCCACTATTAAGCTTATTAATACTTTGATAAGAATTAGTGTTGTCCAAATGCGAGAACGAGACGAGTCTTGGTCTTGCGCAAGAGTCCCGTAACAGTCTTGCAGTTACCTATTAGCTTATTACTATAGAGATATTACTGTAATTTTTTAGATAGGAGAAACATAACTAAGCCCGAATGGAAAATTAGAGGAGTTAAATGCAAAAGTATATTGGTTACATATAGTAACTAAAATTGTCGAATATTAGTAACCATTTTGCTTTATTGCTATTTGAAATAGAAAATAACTTTATTCTGGGACAAAGTCCCTTTAGAATAACAAAATAGAACATAATTAAAATACTACATCTGGCCAAAATAAAACAATAATAAAAAAGAGAGAGTAAAGAAAATATTACTCAAACAAGCTATATACAAAAAAAAAAATCTATATACAAAACACTTAAAACTATGATAAAACACTTAAGACTATGTACAGTAGGAAAAATTTTAATTATACTCTTTTGAAAAATAAAATAATAAAAAGTACATTGAGTTCTTCTTTAGAATGAGTTGTGTTTCTCCTAACAAAGTAAAGACAAACCTGACAATATAAAATATCAGTGTATTTAAATAATGATTAATATGTAGACTCATCATTGTCAAATGCTAGCTATAGGTACAGATTTAATTATATACGAATAAAAAATAATAAAAACAATAAAAAAAAAATAGATGTGGTCAGTGGCATTAAGAGCAGGAAGATATTGTAATATCCCTAGTGAAGATCACAGTATAGAATAGTACTATCGTATGATGATGACTAGAAATGTATAATATCGAAAGTTTAGCAAGTATCTGACTGTTTTTGTGATAGGAATTGGAATAGGAGGGATTTGAATGTGGATATGGAGGGGGAATGTCGAATTTTGATAGGTAGAGAATTCCAGAAATTGACAGCGCGAGCTATAAAGGAATTTTGAAATGAGGCAGATCTGTGAGAAGGGATGTAGAGGTCAGAAGGTCGAGATCTTGTTGAAAGGGAATGGACTGAGGACTTGAATTTGAGAAGGTTGTAGGCGTAAGAAGGACGATGGGTGTTGATGATTTGATAGAGGAACGTACCAAGGAAATATTGTCTTCTACAGGAGGGGAAGAGCCACCTTAACTCAGTGTAGCGGTGAGAGAGACATTTCTATTTTAAAAAATCGATTTTATTTACCAGTCCCTGGTCTTGGTCTTGCAACAGTTAGGAGGCCTTGGTCTTGGTCCTGCAAAGTGCAAGACCAAGACCGATTTTTGGCAACACTAATAAGAATATAAAAAAAACATAGAAAAATCACTCACAGTTCGCTTCCTTCTCTCAAATGACTGCTCTCTTCCCTCATGAAATCTCTCTGAAAAATAAGGAAATAAATTAAATTGAGGCTGTTAACAATATAAATGGGCGTCATAAATAATTGCTACGGCCTTTATAAATAATATAATTGAGACTGTTTCCCGACTGCTCCGGGAATCGGTTCCCTTTTTGTTTTATTTATTTTTTCCCGAAAGCCTTTCAAAACTGGAGTATCCCAGACGGAGCGGACTGGACAGCGGCCAAACGTTAGGGAACATTAAGATTGGCATACATCATGTAACTCCTATCAGTTTCACTCCGTTGCAATTTAATATTAATTTACAACTCCCGCGCTCCTTACTTTATTTATAACGGCGGCGATAATAACTTTAAACTCGAATAAATGTTGATGTATTTGTCAGTTTGAAATAAGGCACAATAAATGACATGTGGCGATAATTAAGTTTATTTATTAGCCCTGTGAAACAAGTATTCTAACCTATTTAAATAGCACTTTACTAGTTATTTAATTACTAGTTATTTATTTAGCCAGTTAGAGAATGTTTAACCGTTATCAGCTGAGACCAAGGGTGGCAAGAAGGGGTGGTTCGAGGCGCAGGTTGCACCATGAAAATAATTGAGGAGTGCACATTTTGACGATTTTTTTATTTTTATGAGGGAGCACATTTCGAGGAGATTATATCGCTTGTTTAAAGTCTACTTTTTAGGAACAGAAAAAAAAATCTGGTACGTGCATCACAGGACTTTCACTTAACACCCTCTTCTTAACAGAAATAAGTATTTCCAGACAAAGGAGAAGTGAAAGTAAAAATTATTGACGCTTTATTTAATCTACAATTCATTGTGGGTACTTTTATTTGTTTAAACTTATATAGACAAATTTAAATTTTTATATCACTGTATTCTATACAATTAAATAATACCAACAGTAGCATTTATGAAAACCGCATGTGTATATTTATATAATATTGATGGAGTCCGTATTATATGAAGCTCATGTATGTTATGTATGGAAGTCTGTTCTAATCTTTCGGGTGAGCTCGTAATTCTTTGGTTCCTCAATTAATGAGATGAATGTGCAATGGTCAGTTGTTTCAAATAAAAAAAAATAAAGGTACTTTAGGGGAAGCTAATATTAAAAATTAGCCATTTAAGCCCTATTATAGAACATCAATCAGAATAAAAACTACATTTTATTTAAAATTGCTTTATTTTACACTGGTATGATAAATTTAATCAAAATCGTTAGCATCGTTTTCGTGAAAACCGGAAAAAAATGCGTTTAGTGCATTATATGAAGTTCCCCTTCCGGTTTAACGATTTTGACGAAAACGTTGCCGTAACATCCCTAGCATATAAAAACCTAAAATATGCAATTTCACTTTCGTACGACTTTTCGTTTTTTAGCTAGACATAATATAACATGTAAATATACACAGAGTGTGTTAGTTTTATGTCGCCAAACTTTGGTAAGTGAATTTACAAAAAATTTCCTACAAAAAAATTCATTTGATGCATGAACCGATTTCTCTTTTATAAGCACGTTTCTCTTTTATGAGAAGCGATAAAATTATTTAATGTTGGTAATTAAAATTCGCATCATAGTAAAGCGGACAAAATT